GATCACTTGAGGTCAGGAGTTCGAGACAAGCCTGGCCAACATGGTGAAACCCCGTCTCTACTACAAATACAAAAATTAGCCAGGTGTGGTGGCGCACGACTGTAATCCCAGCTACTTAGGAGGCTCAGGCAGAATTGCTTGAACCCAGGAAGCAGGGGTTTCAGTGAGCCGAGATCACCCCATTGCACACCAGCCTGAGCAACAGAGCTAGACTCCATCTCAAAAACAAAAAAAACCTCAATCTCAAAAACAAAAACAAAATTATTAAAATGAATAATGGAGCTTGCAAAAAAGTAAGGCTATGAATAGCCAATGGTTAAAAATGAAAAGAGAATTAAAAATCAAAATAGCCTGTAAGAGGATGCTGTGGCTGCTCTAAAGAATTTTGTAGGCCTTGAGAAATCTATTAGCTTGGAATTCATTGCCCAAGTGGGAAATGGAGATAAGGATTTGGGCCCATAAGAGGTAGAGAGTTGGGCTGACACCTTTCTCCTACCCCTAGTCCCTGCTGCTGGTAGAGGACCAGGAATCTCAAAGGGCCACATTCTGAGTAGATAAGAAAAAAATCTGTTCAATGGGACCAGGAGATAATGAAAGCTTGTCTGTCATAGGTTGTTGGGAGATTTAAAAAAAAAAAAGAAAAAGCACCCCGAGATTTAAAAATCATAGATACATCTTCACATGGGTTTAGAGTGCCCATTTATATTACCTGTGAGGTCCAGGAATCTCCAAGCTTAGAAATTACTTAAGTTAGCTCAAAGTCAATAATACTCCTAAAGCACCTGACAGAGGCAAATACAAGACAGCTAGGAAGAGACAAAGCTTCCATCCAGCCAAGATAAACTTACCAGAAACAAACAGAAATTACATCAAATACAAGGAAACAAGCCTCCAGGCATAAGAACTAACAAGACAAAAATGGTGAGTATTTAACCTCCAAGAACTTTAGGTAATTGAACTATTGGACAAATAACTTTAAAAAAGTGTGTTTAAGCAACTGAGACAGAAAAAGGAACTGAAAACATAAGAATAAAAAATATTCTACAAAAACCTGGCATACTTGAAAAGAACCAAATAAAACTATAAAATGAAAACAAGTGGCTGAAATTAAAAAACTCAATGAATTAGTTAAATAACAGTTTAGACATTACTAAAGAAAGAGCTGATGAGTCCACAATGACTAAACCAAAAAAGTTGGGGTGGGGGTAAAACAGAACGCTCTTCTTTAGAGAAGAATGCCCAACTATGAAATGCACAAATAAATAATTAGAAAATCTCCACTTTAGCCAGGCGTGGTGGCTCACACCTGTAATCCCAGCACTTTGGGAGGCCAAGACGGGAGGATCACGAGGTTGAGAGATCGAGACGATCCTGGTTAACACGGTGAAACCCCATCTCTACTAAAAATTCAAAAAATTACCCAGGCATGGTGGCGAGCGCCTGTAGTCCCAGCTACTTGGGAGGCTGAGGCAGGAGAATGGTGTGAACCTGGGAGGCGAAGCTTGCAGTGAGCCGAGATCGCGCCACTGCACTCCAGCCTGGGAGACACAGCGAGACTCTGTCTCAAAAAAAAAAAAAAAAAGAAAGAAAGAAAGAAAATCTCCACTTTATAATCACCACTTTATCAAGGGCAAGGATCATCAATACATGCTAAAATCACTGGGTAAAATGCTGTTATAGAAACAGGACATAAAGAGAAAATCATGAAGAAATCCAGTTGCTATCACCTTAACCAAGTGATCCAATTTTATTACACATCACCGACAGAGACAAAGCAGCATCACACATCTCCTGATGTCATACACTGAAAAGGACATGCCACCACCTATGTTGTATTCTTGCCAGAAAATAATATTTAAACGGAATCTAATAGTAACAAAATGATGAAACAAATCTGAATTTTCAAAACAATAGCCTGGTGTCTTCAAAATGTAAATGTCATAAAAGAAAAAAAGAAAACAAAACAAAAACCCCCACAAAACCCAAACTATCCAAATGGTTTAGATTTAAGGGGACAACAGAAGCACAAGTAAATGCAGTATGTGATACCTGATTGGATCCTGCATCAGTAAAAAAAAAAAAAGCACTATAAGGGTCAGTATTAGGTCAACTGGGGAAATGTGAATATGAACACTTGTAGTATTTTAAGCATGACAATCATATTGTAGTTATTTGGTTTTTTCCTTTGAGACGGAGTCTCGCTCTGTCACCCAAGCTGGAGTGCAGTGGTAAGATCTTGGTTCACTGCAACCTCTGCCTCTCGGGTTCATGCAATTCTCCTGCCCCAGCCTCCAGAGTGGCTGGGATTACAGGCTCGCGTCACCAAGCCCGGCTAATTTTTTAGTAGAGGCAGGGTTTCATCATGTTGGTCAGGCTGGTCTGATCATGAGGCTCCTGACCTTGTGGTCCACCTGCTTCGGGCTCCCAAAGTGCTGGGATTACAAGTGTGAGTCACTGTGCCCAGCTCATATTGTAGTTAGAAAGGAAAATGTCTTGTTCTTCGGAGATGCATGTGAAATACTCAGGAATGAAGTGGCAGGATGCCTGCAACTTCCTTTCAAATGATTCAGCAAGAAAGTGTGCATGAGAGAGAGAATATGAGGGCTGGTTTTTTACTACTGGAGAAAGTTACAAATATGAAAAGTGGGGAGGACAGAATAAACTGTATAGCTGGACTGGAATTAGAAATAACATTATAAACTCATGGTTTTTTAAAAACAGACAGAATAATACATATAGATGTGTGTGTGTACATACATCGGTGTATGTGTCTATACAAATATTTCCTAGAGGACCTGGAATAATGATACCTCAATAACAACAGTGTGCCCAGTGCCCAGATATTAATTTCTAAGTATCGTTCTCCATTAAAAGGAATCAGGGCTCTTAGAGAAACAGACTGACTCTGGAGCTAGCCAGGGACAACACAAAATGAGCCTGACATTTTGTGGTACTAGAAAGGTGGTAGGGGTGGGGGGATTAGCTCAAAGAATGATGGTATCATGTCAAAGGAACAGAGAAGTCAGCTTACAGAGCATCCCACTAGCCCAATCTGGGACAATCTAATCATCAACATAAGTGATATGATTAGGGAGAAGAAACCTTTATCTTATAGAATACCAAGAAATAAATGTAAGAGGTGGCTACACAATAATGTAAATGTACTTACCACCACTTAATTAAACACTTAAAATTGCTAATATTGGGCCAGGCACGGTGGCTCATGGCTGTAATTCCCAGTACTTTGGAGGCTGAGGCAGGCAGATCACCTGAGGTCAGGAGATGGAGACCATCCTGGTCAACATGGTGAAACCCCGTCTCTACTAAAAACAGAAAAATTAGCCAGGCATGGTGGCAGACGCCTGTAATCCCAGCTACTTGGGAAGCTGAGGCAGGAGAATCGCTTGAACCTGGGAGGCAGAGGTTGCAGTAAGCTGAGATCTACCACTGCACTCCAGCCTGGGTGACAGAGCAAGACTCCATCTCAAAAAAAAAAAAAAAAAGGTTAATATTGTAAATTTTATGTATACTGTATTAGTTAAAAAAAAAGAAAAATGTTAAAGGAATAAATAAACATAGGAAAAATGATGAAATTGGAAAGCCCCATGACAACCAACATAGTAATAATTTTGAAAATAATCTTAAAAGGATGTTAGAACTAGTAAGTCAAAGTTTGATGGGGTCAGGCACAGTGGCTTACGTCTGTAATCCCAGCATTTTTGGAGGCCAAAGTGGGTGGGTTGTGTGAGCTTAGGAGTTTGAGACCAGCCTGGGCAACATGGCAAAACCCTGTCTCTACTAAAAACACAAAAATTCGCATGGCATAGTGGCATGCATCTGTAGTCCCAGCTACTCAGGAGGATGAGGTGGGAGAGGCACCTGAGCCCTGAATTCAAGGCTGCAGTGAGCCAAGATTGTACCACTGCAATACAGTGAGACCTATTCTCAAAAAAAAAAAAAAAAAATTTGATGGGGACCAAATATTTATGTAGTTTTAGATAAGCAGCTTCCCACAAAATACTTATTAATCATTTATTAATTTGCACAAAATACTTAATTTTCGAAAACCTATGGGCACAGAAGGGCTAACAGAATAGGGATAGAGATACCAGACAGATACTAACCAAAAAGAAATTAATATAGATGTGTCAATGTCAGACAAAATAGACTTTAAGGCAAAAAGCCTAAGAGATAAAGATAAAAGGCATAATTCACCAGAATGATATTCACAATTCTGAATTTACATGCATTTAACATAATCTCGTATGTATATTTAGCAAATCTGACAGAATTGTGAGAAAACACTTAATGGAAGACAATCAATGGGAGCTTTTGGCATACTTTCTTACCAACCAATAGATCAGGCAGATAAAAATTACTAAGATAAAGAATTTAAGAATACCATCAAGAAGTGTGACAGTGAACAAATATAGAGGCCCAAATTTAGAGACTCTGCATTCTGTTCAACATACCAAAGCCATTTACAGAAAAGTGATCACATGGTAGACCTAAAAGCAAGTCTCAAACGAATAAACACAAAATTGATAGGTACAGATCAGATTCTCTAACCACAGTAAAATTAACTTAGGAGGAAAAAAAGGTAACCAAGCCTTTTCAGGCTTGAAAATTAAAAGCAACACCAATAACACTTCCAAACAATAATAATATTACTTCTAAATAGCTCCTACTGGGTCAAAGAATAAAAGTGAAGTCAGAAAATATCTAGGTATTACAAAGATGTGCCAAGGATACATAGGTTCTTTGTATTATACTCTGTATTAAAGTTTCAGTAGACCCAAAATATTTCAAATTCTTTTTAACAAGCATGTATCAAAAATAAGAAGATAATACTGACTGTTTCTGTAACATCTGTGGCACTTTCAGGCAAAATGAAATTAAAAATCACTGGTGAGACTTCAAGCGACACAAAGAGCCATGGTCCAATAACCGGCTTCCTTAGTAGCGCCTAATATGCTTTCCATGAAAGTTCCTGACAGGGAAAAATCATTACTCAGTTCAATAACCTAATTTGGTTTCAAATAATTGACTCTGTAATAATCAAATCCACCCCAAACAGATTAAGATCTGCTAACACTCTTTCCCAAGGTAAACTATAGGCTTTCAGGAAATACTAAAACGCAAGTTTTCAAATGTTCTGAAAAACAGCAGCGCTTCTCAAGTGAATACATGCTCTCTCTTTCAGCCTGCTCTGCCACACCAACCTTCCAAAGGACTACCTGAAAAGAGACAGCTATAATTTGGGTAAGTTTACTATGCACTGCTTCAAAACATTATTTTGTAGCCTCAACTTTAAATAGAAATTGTAACTTACATTATACAAAAAAGCTTTCAATCTTATTGTAGGTTCAAGATTTCTTAGTTTAGCTATATTTCACTTCTTAAATTGTGAACTTGATTCTAACTGCGTAAAATTATGTTACATATAAAGTAAAAAAAAGTGCTAACAAAGTATGTTAGTATGGATATTAAAATAATGAAAATAATAGGTTAAGGATTAAGTGACACCAAAAATAGGTATAGTAGATATAAAGAAAATATATATGTACCCAGCTTAACCCTATGCTGTTTCTCTTCTTCACTTCTAAGAAAAGTATCCAAAGTCCGTAGGTCGGTCATGTAGTCTTCTTTGTCAGTAGGTGAGTTGTAGACGGTAGGTGAAGAACGGTAGCGAGATCTCAATCCACTGCTTTCTACTGGTCCAACAGTGGTAGGGTATGAAGAAGGAGGAGAGGGGCTAAAGCTCGCCAACTATACAAAATAAAAGATCTTTACGTTATTTTTCTTTAATTGAAATTCATTTTGTTTTGGTTTTTGACTTAAGTAAAACATCTGGTAGAATGGCAAAAATCCACAACACTGACAACATCAAATGCTGATGAGGTTGTGGAACAACAGAATCTCTCATTCTTTGCTGATGGGAATGCAAAATGCTACAGCCACTTTGAAACCCAGTTTGGCAGTTTCTTACAAAAGTAAATATTCTCTTACCATACGATCTAGTAATTGTGCTCCTTAGCGTTACCCAAGGAGTTGAAAACTTACATCCACACACAAACCTGTACGTTTATGGCAGCTTTATAATAGCCAAAACTTGGAAGCAACCAAGATGCCCTTCAGTAGGTGAATGAGTAAATAAACTGGCAAAATTAGGTAATGGAGTATTACTCAGCACTAAAAAGAAGTGAGCTGGGCACGGTGGCTCACACCTGTAATCCCAGCACTTTGGGAGGCTGAGGCGGGAGGATCATCTGAGGTCGGGAGTTTGAGACCAGCCTGACCAACATGGAGAAACCCTGTCTCTACTGAAAATACAAAATCATCCGGGCGTGGTGGCTCACGCCTGTAATCCCAGTTACTCGGGAGGCTGAAGCAAGAGAATCGCTTGAACCTGGGAGGTGGAAGTTGTAGCGAGCTGAGATCGCGCCATTGCACTCCAGCCTGGACAACAAAAGCAAAACTCCGTCTCAAAGAAGAAAAAAAAAAAAAAGAAGTGAGCTATCCAGCTACGAAAAGACATACAGGAATCTTAAAATGCATATTGTTAAGTGAAAGAAGCCAATCCGAAAAGCTACACAGGTATGAGTCTAAGTACATGACACTCTAGAAAAGGCAAAACTATGGCAGCAATAAAAAAATAAAAAAAAAACAGTGGTTAACAGGAATTTGGAGGAAAAGAAGAATGAGTAAGTGGTACAGATTTTTTATTCTGTATGATATTATAATTGTGAACACATCATTACACATTTGTCCAAACCCATAGAACGTACAACACCAAGAGTGAACCCTAATGTAACCTATGCACTTAGGGTGATAATGACGTATCAATGCAGGTTCATCAGCTGTAAGAAAGATACCACTGTGAGGGGGTATACTAATCATCGGGGAGGCTATGCATGTTAGGACAGGGGATTACACGAGATCTCTTGACTTTGCTGTGAACCCAAAACTGCTCTAAAAAATAAAGTCCATCAAAAAAAAAAAAAAAAAAAGTAACTCAAGGAGCCTAGGAGTTAGAGGCTACAGTGAGCCATCACCGTGCCGCTGCATTCCAGCCTGGGTGATAGAGCAAGACTCTGTCTCTTAAAAAAAGAAGTAACACATGTATATTTTTAAAAATAGAAAGTATAAATAAAATAACATCTGTAATTTTGCCACCCAGAGATAATATAATCCTTTTTCATATTTTATGTATTTTAAAATCTCTAAAATATACACAGCTTTGTCAATGTTATGATGAAGATAGCTGTACATAAATCTTTGAATGTCTGATGGCTTCCCTTAACAGATTCCTAAAACTGAAATTATTTGGTGAAAGCATATTAACAGTTACTTGATATACAAGAATTTTAAAAACTGGACATTTAATTTGCATTTCCCTAAATTTATGATGTTAAACACTTAAAAAATACAATTACTAGTCACTTGGATTACTTATTTAAACGTTTACTCAAGTACATTTACAATTTTTTTCTATTGGGGTCTTATGATCACTTCATATTAGCTTGCAACAAGTTAAAGATTAATCAGTCTTGTAATTGTTTAATGCTGTTTGAAAATAAAAATGTTAATCCTCTTCCACACAGATTTCTTTTATTTTTAAAATTAACATATTACATCCTTATATACACTATATCCGGGCTATTATTGCATTAATTGGCCTATTTTTGCCTAGAGGCCATAATATTTCACTTATTAAGTTTTAATGTCTATGGGGAAGTATCCTGTTACTCAAAATTTTCTTGGCTCATTTGTTTTTCTTTATTAACTTTAAAATCAATGAGTAACTTGCATAAATCTATTTTTAAAAAATGGTAGACTGGGACTAATTAGAATTGCATACACCTTATACATTAGCATGTAGGGAGAAAATCTTTATAACAATATCTTTTTATCCAAGAACATTTTCTCTCTCTTCATCTAGCATCTCTTATATTTCTTGGCAATATTTTGGCCCCACTTCTAAAGCTCAATCTTGGGATCTTATGTTTTTAAATCAATTATGAAAGGAATTTGGAAACCCCTATAGATCTAACTAAATAATGCTGGCATATATATAACTGTAAGCTATTGATTTTCGATATTTACCGTGTATCCAGCCACTTAACCAAAGTTTTTAATATGAAAATGGATGTTTTTAGGAAACAGCTTTTCAAACTTTAGGTTTTAAATGAACTCCTGAATATAATGTATTAATAGATTTCTTGCATTGCTAGGATAAACTTTACCTGGTTATCAATTATTCCTTAAAGGTTATTTTGAAAAGAAGAAAAAAAAGTTGTTAATTTCTGTGAATTCAAACCATTATTTAGTTTACAACTTTCACATTGTCCTATTTATTTTTAAGTTTTTTTGGTTTGTTTTTTACAGATCCCAGGGGGAACTATTTTGTGCTTTAAGTTTTATTACATTCTATAAAGTAAAATAGGTAGTGGTGTTCTTATCTTTTCTGTATTTGGTAATAATTCGTATTGAATACCAAGTATTTAGGCAATCATTATATATGTCAGGCAATGTGCTAATTATGCTTAATACATACATTGTCTTATTTTATCTTTTCAATAACAGGTACACATGATTACTATATTCGCCTTATGAGTTTACATAACTTGCTGAAGATCATATCAGGATTTCAATCCTGTTTTCTAACTCAAGTTGATGCTAACATGTTGTTTTACTGGATCGGAATTAGCTGTTCATAGGCCAGCAAAATATTAATAACTTTTAGAAGATGGGTGAAAGATACACAGGAGTTCACTATATTAAAACTGGTCACTTCACTTTTGTGAGTTTGAGATTTTCCATAATAAAAAGTCACTGTGTCTTCAAAGTTTAAAAGAACTCAATAATAAAACTTAAGGGCCCTACAGTCTTCTGGGGATGTATGTGATGTATCGTTTTTAAATTTTCTCTCTCATTTTGGTTTTCTACTTCTTAGCCAATTTTTGGCTTTTTTTTTTTTTTTCCAAGAAAAGTAATGTATTTCATTAACTTTTCTAAGTTATTAGTTTGGCTCAACAGACACTGATGTAGCATCTATATTCCATGTACTGGGCTAAGGAAACAAAGATGAATAAAAACACATAATCCTGTGCTCAAGAGGGTTACAGTCTAGAGGGAAAAAAGTGAACATTATTATAGACTGAATGTCTGTGTCTTCCCCAAATTCGTATGTTGGAGCCCTACTCCCCAATGTGGCTGTTTTTGAAGTAAGGGGGTCATCAGCCTAAGTGAGGTCATTGGAGTGGGGCCTTGTTCTGACAGGCTCAGTGTCCTTACACAAAGAGATACCAGAAAAGGCATGGGAGGGCAAAGTGGGTGTCCGTAAACCACAAAGAGCCCTCACCAGAAGCCAAACTGGCAGGGACCTTGATCTCAGGCTTCTAGCATTCAGAACTATGAGAAAATAATTTCTGTCAGGCCACAAAGCCTGTGGCATTTTTTAATGGCAGCCCAAACAGACTAATACAAGCAACTATTTTAAAATACTATGCTTTGTTTGATATATCATTATGCAAATATTCTAAGGTAGGAATGTAAGTAGCTACAAACCATGGTATGGGGCCAGGTGTGGTGGCTCATGCCTGTAATCCCAGCACTTTGGGAGGCTGAGGCAGGAAGACTGCTTGAGTCGAGACGTTTGAGACCAACCCAGGCAACATAGCAAGACCCCATCTCTACCAAAACAAACAAACACCATAGAGTGTTTCCTCAAAAAATTAAAAATAGATATATAAACTCTACTTCTTAATATATACCCCAAAGAACTGAAAGCAGGGACTCAAACAGATAAGCTGTACAGCCTTGTACACTGCAGCATTCACTCTTCACAAAAGCCAAAAGGTAGAAGCCATCAACATATGAGTGGATAAACAAAATGTGGTGTATACATACAATAGAGTATTATTCAGTCTTAAAAAGGAAGGGAATTATAACACATGCTACAACATGGATGAACCCTGAGGACATTATGCTAGTGAATAAGCCAGTTAAAGGACAAATACTGTATGATTCCACTTAAATGATGTACTTAAAGAGTATCAAATTCAGAGGGACAGAATAGTGGTTGCCAGAGACTTAGGGGATGGAAAAAGAGAGTTAACTATTTTCAATGGGCACATTGTTTCAGCGGGGAGATGAAAAGTTCTAGAGACGATGATGGTGACAGTTGCACAATTTGAATGCATTTAACGCTACTGAACTATGCACTTAAAAACGGTATGTTTTATCACCATTAAACAAAC